TGTTATGAAACTACTGTTATGAAATGGAGAGTAGTATGAGTCAATCAATCCATTTCTTTTCATCATACGTTCTTATATTGCCTCAATAAGAACTGATAAATAAGTCTATATAAAGAAGAGTATTTGGAGACTTATGGTATATAATTGAATACCCTATGTAAAGCAAAACCATCATTTTTTTGTAATTTTATGGGATGGATCCTTGCGGGACCCTAGGACACTGTTGAAGTTATAAAATGAGGACGATAACGGAGGGTTAAGTCGAGATGCGCTCCTGAAAAGTACGTTTATTGAGGGTACGTGTTACGCTCTACCTAACTTGTTGGAATCTTCACTTATATGTACAAATGTTTTATTGAGAAAGTAAAACCACACCTTCTGCTATATGTTTCAAAACAAAAAAACGATTTTTTTCTTTTCATCCTTTGTTTCACTCTCGCATCGACGATCTATATACATCTGCAACAAAAAATCATTCTTTTGTGTTTTGAAGTGCATGTCTGGCGAGGGAATGCGTAATACTTGAATGGCACCTCTGGAATCGGGTTTAGAATGATTCCGATCTTTTTTAAAACATTGCTACGAGATTCAGCGTGGTCGAAAGCCTATAATTCAAGTCTTTTGTGGGCTTGAAAAAGTTAAAAAACTGAATCTTAGCAGTCTCAGGAAAGTGCGCATCCTGTCCGAACAGTTAGAGATGAGGGCGTTCCTGAGGGCATTTGTACACTAATGTATGGTTATTCGAATCCCCAGTCCGCATTAAAAAACACGTTGTTTTTCGTTCCGTACGGAGGTACGCTTTGAAAGATTGATGTGGTACACTACTAGCAACTGGTGGGCTGCTCGGATAAATCCCTTTTTCTAATTTCTGCAAGTGTCAGCTACACAGTGGTGAAAACCACATGTCTCTATCTCTTTTCTATAGCGAGTTATTTAAAAAACGGCAGGGTGCCTTGTATTTTGAAACAGATAGTAGTACAGTATATGCCTGTATAGGCGAGAAAGGAAGAACGTAGCAGAAAAACGCGATGTAATATATACAATGATGTCACAGGACGACATGATAAGATCGTGACTATATGAACATACGTTTCCTGAAAAGGAAGTTTTTCTTTTATATAATCACCTAGCAGTACACTGACGCTGAAGTATCTTTGTCCATTTTAGGCCTAGTGACCTAACACCTTCCGCCGGTGTCGTGGCGTTACACCAATCGGACTTCTTCCAATGAATATAAAACAAAATTTTTACACCAGTATTGGTATAAACGACAAACACTTACACCATTGGTATAAGAGTCGAAAAAAAAGAAGGTATTGGCCTAAGTGCACTTTCAAATGTTTGACTGATTACAGTGAAACTATTTGATGTATAAGTTGTTCAGACTCCATGCAGTGAAAAATCGATGCAGTACAATATATCAAATATTTTGCAGAATTTAGAGAAAAACAATTTCCCTACCTAACTAGTTCGAATCTTCACTTGTTTGTACAAATGTTTTATTGAGAAAGTAAAAGCACACCTGTCTTTTGAATTTCAAAAAATGGAAGTGCTTTTCGGCGTATTTCAGTAAAATGCAAATTATTCAGGCTTAAATTAGTTTTAAAATGATTGCTTGATTACCAAATTAAAGCTCACAGTTTGGGCTATCAGAATCACTACTGACTTTTTCTTGAATTAGTTTCCTGGCAGAGGAAATCTAATAAAAGTGACCGTTACGGAATTTCATTTCGTTACAGAATTTCGCCATTTTTTGCTCTTCTTTGCAGATGATTTGGTATATATTTTTTCTGTCACAGAACTACTTAGCAAGCTCTGATTCGCAAATAAATAGATAATTTGAGGTGCCCTTCATCCCTTGCAGCCAAAAATAGATTTTCAAAGTTCGATTAAATGGGTATAAAACTGCTCACAAAATAAGCGCCAAAACGTTTTTCAGAAAATAAAAAAAACATTTTCCCATCCAAACATGAAAACATATGAGGCATTTTGTAGAGAATTCGATTCTCTGTCCGATGGTACAGTTTCCAGAATTTTTGGAAAACATATCTAGGTCAGGAAATTAAATTTAAATTTTCGCTTTGAAAATTTAACTTTAATTTGTTTTTGAGTGTAGATTCATAATCAGCGTGAAAGGCTGCGTCTAATGATGTATTTTTAAGCATTGCTCAAGTTAAAACAAAAATTCGAATCTTCGCATCCGAAGGTGGACCATTAGCTGGCCACGCCGTTTATCGAGTGATAGAATGCACCTTCAGCGAAGGAATTCACCTGGCTTTCGTCCCAAAAAAAGAGCATATAAAGCTTCATCAAGCCTCTAGAATCCTTTTAATAGTAAAATTACTTAGAGATGAAAACGTAGTTTTCGATTTTCAGTCAAATTATCGTTAACCCTTGACAGCTGTTTGGGAGTCCAGTTGGACTCATTGTGCAGTTTTTGTTTCTTACTCGGCAGTATTCATCTCTTTCGAGCTCGTCTCTTTCCTAATCGTCAATCTTCTATTCATGCACACTACCCATATAAAATCTAGTGAATAAGTCTTACAGACAAAAAACTGAAGTGTGTGTCCACAGGGCCCGATAATAACCATGGTGTTATATTTATGATTTCAGCCGTATTACAGCCGCCTTCTATCGTCGTCTTGGTAGAGCAAACATTTCTGAAGAAAATAAGACGCCTCCGAACTGTCTAAACCATTTCTTCGTGAAACAGCATTCAATTTACGGAAGGTTCTAACGTCGTATCTTTTTTGTTTTCCCTTGAGTTCTACTGGTATGGGGTCTTCCGTAAATTGAATGCTGTTTCATGAAGAAATGTTGTAGAGAGTTCGAAGGCGTCTTATTTTCTTCAGAAATGTTTACTTTACACGATGGAGCTGTTTGCAAGGCGTTTCTAGATTGAACTCGAGGACTTGGTTTTCTGATATCTTGGTTTGCCAGAAATAATGATTTCATGAATTTTGACAGAACCTCTGTATACAGCACATCAGATCAGAAATTTTTTCAGCTGTTCAAGGAAAAGCGAAGCTTCGTTAGGTTTCCTATTAGCACATATTGTAGAGTTTTCCAAGGCGCATCGAATGATTTATGAATGATTAGAGATTTCTATCTGTGAACGAAACTATAAAATTTTTTATCTACCCTTTCGGTTAAAATCGAGATGCCTGTCAAGTATTTGCCTAGTACATCTGTGAAGACGAACTTTTGAAACAATATATTATAGCTCATTAGGTAGCCCTTTCAATTCTACATTTTTCTATATAAAAATCATTGCGGGACTGAGTGTGCTGACAAAAACACGTTTACATACCGTGCATCAGTCTCAACATATTCACGCCTAGAAGGAGCATGATGTAGACCATTGATCCATGTATAAAAAGATTCAATCAAATGGTAAAAGTCTTGAACATCTCCCATACGTTCTCTTGTGATTCGATCAATCGTAGCGGATCTCATCATCTATGTTGAGTGCTTAAAGTCACGTTCTCTGATTGAGTAGAGACAATTTCAAAAACCTTTCTTTTACCAAAATGTAGCTTAAGAGAGGATTCGTGAGTGGATCGAGCATGCCGTCGTAAAACGGTCACTTGAAAATTTACAACCTATGTTTTTTATTGTTGGGATTCGATTCTACACATGAAACTGTGGGAATGAAAAAATTTTTAAACTTTCAGACCTTATTTTGACTGAGTTACAGAAAAGCCCCATGAATGCCCCATGTTATTCCATCTTTAAAACATAATCTATGTAGATTAATAGAAGAGGATTGTGATAAGGCTGAATTATTGAACGAACATTTTGCATCTATCAATCACATATCTTCCACTGACGATGCTAACCCAACTCCATCAATTACTATATCGTCAAATGTCCCTCAGCTATCCGGTTTAAAAGTTACACTAAATGGAGTGGAAAAAATATTGTTAAAAACAGATATAAACAAAGCTTGCTCCCCTGGTGTAACATCACGTCTATTGAGGGAATCTGCAATTATAATATCACCTTATATTATAAAGATAGTACAACAATCAATTGATACCGGTATTTTTCCAAGTATTTTTAAAACAGGATATGTAAATGCGTTATTTAAAGATGGTGAATTAACTTCTCCTTCGAACTACCGTCCTATTACTCTACTTCCAGCGTTAAGCAAAGCTTTTGAACGAATCATGCATTTCCATTTATACAGTCACTTGAAGAAAAATAATCTTCTGTCACCTTTACAATCCGGTTTTATTCGTCATGATTCTACAGTCAATCAGTTAGTTGGTCTAGTTCAATCAATTCATCTAGAGACTGAACAATCAAAGACAACAAGAGCTGTGTTCTTAGATTTTTCTAAGACTTTTGATCGAGTATGGATAAAAGGTTTGCTAAAGAAATTAGAAGGTAAAGGAGTCTGAGGCACTATGTTTAAATGGTTCGAAAGTTGTCTGAGTGACAGAAAAATTATTACAGTGGTAAACGGAAAGATGTCGAAGGCAAGAAGTATAAATCGAGGCGTACCGCAGGGTAGTGTGCTCGGTTCGTTACTGTTCTCGATCTTCACAGATGATATAAATAAGGGTACTAAATGAGGCTGGACTGATTGGGTCGACTGTGATGAAGGCCGCTGCCTCAATGGGTCTACTGTCGGCAATTGTCGAATAGTATCGTATCGTGTCACTCTGTTGTTACTGGATCCTGTGCCCATGCTTCACAGTTCTACAAATAGATATGCATCAAGTTCAAAATTGGTTCTTCGATCTCTTTGCTGAAATTGTTGTGCACAATTATTCAGCATGTGTGACTGTACTAAAATTTCACATGAAAAAATCTTTAACAAAATAGAATTGAACAATCCTATTCTTCTCGTCCCCTTATCGAATGAGAATATAAGACTCAGCTGTTTTTCGTATTTTGCTTGACCATCATTTTGTATTCAAATACATCTCGTTCGAATTATATTAGCTATTACAGCTGAATCGGTCGAAAAGATAAAATACAGATCGATTCTCTATCAAATGAAAGCGATGGTTGCAGTTCACATGTTCGTCTCTTCGCTGGACATTGCTCCCCTAAAAGAATTAATCCCTGTGTCTGTGTTTTAATCTCTGACATTCAAGATCCGAAACATCCACATTCCCTCGAGAAGGTGTCTTTTTCCTCTTTGGATCCACGATATTTGTAATTATGAAATTACAGGTATAATGAAGATGGCAGCCATTTTTCAAACTTATCTTATGCCAAGGCAGCCAGTAGAACTCATCACAATATCACCATAGCCACTTACCTGCCACTTCTTCAACCGACTGACAATTGACGTACAGTGGAAGTGGAAGAGAAAGAAATCGTTTCATTCTGCCAGCATAAACGAAAGAAAAGAAAATATCAAGCTTTTGTTCTCTGTATAAACAATCCATCACTAATCATTAACACTGCTCTTTTTGGAAGCCCACTGGTAACGCACAACGCACAACTTAACGATTTTCTTCTGCTTATTCTTCGATCATTCATATTCGATTTGAACACAAAAATGGCAAAAGAACCACATTAAATGTGAATCATTCATCTTCGTTGTCTCATCACGTTTACAAATAAAACCTTGCTAGACATTACGCAAAAAGAACTATTGTACGTATCTTTGTACGCAGCTTACGAGTTCGGAGTTGAGTTTGTTTTTCAACGGTTCGAATTTTGAAAGACGAAGATGTATTTGAGAATATTGTTTAACAATAGAATTAAGCTTTTGAGGATGAGTATGGTTGTGATAGTGCC